ACACACACACACAAAGAAAACAAGGGAGAGTCAGAGGGCATGAAAGAGTCAGACAGCACAACCAGAAAGAGGAGTGGAAAAAAGGATTTAGTTGACAGTGAAATACTGAAATGGGAGAAAGAAGTAGACCTCCCTTTTCTGTGTCCTTGTTAGAGAGATACATCTTTGTTTCCTCGCCTTTCTTTTTGTGTCCTCTTTTCTCTTCTTCTTTCCTCCTCTTTTTTTCTACATCTCTCACTTTGAATCTCTCCCATCTGTCTGTTTCTCTATTTTTATTTCTCTCTCTCTTTCCCTTTCTGCGTTTTATGTCTCCCTCGTCGGTGCCCACTGTTGGATTATGAACCATAGACCTCATTATGGCATGGGTATAACCATGCTTCAGTTCTGTGTGTTTGTGTGTGTCCCTGTCAGTATACTTGCCCTATTATGCAACTGTCGCCTGCTGTGATTGTGTGTTTATCACTTAATACTGTGAGATTGTATCGTTCTGTTTGTGTGTGTGTCTGTGATGTCTCCAAAAAGATAGCAGTATGTATGTGTGTTTGTGCTGTGGTCACAGGCTGTAGCTGTGCAGGTTTGTGTGAGCGAGATGCGTCAAACCTACTGCAGCAAGTGTTATTAATTAATAAAAGTGTAATAATACAATAACACCTTCTTGTTTTGCTTTTAGGTGGCTGTAAAGATCATTGATAAGACACAGCTCAACTCCTCCAGTTTGCAGAAGGTGGGTCTCTCTCTCTCTCTCTCTCTCTCTCTCTTTCACTCACTCACTCACTCACTCACTCTCTCACACACACACACACACACACACACAGGTTCAAAATTCAAACTTCAGTCCCTTTCTCAGAAGTCATTTTCAAGTCTTCCTTCCCCATGTGTCTTTCTCTTTTGCTCCCTTGCACTCTCTCTATCCATCTCTCTTTTCCTTCCTCTTTCTCTGTCTTTCTGAAGTGGTCTAGTTTTCAGAGAGAGTTTTAATTACAGGAAACAAGCTGCAATTACTTCTTTTGATCGTGGCAGGGTGGGGTCTGTCCACTTACACGCACACTCTCTAACCATGTATGGTCGCACACTCAACACACACACACCAAACGCTCATAAGGCACAATATATACTTGTGTGCAAACGCAGACGCACAGAGCACATGAAGAAAATGTTAAGACATAACAAAGACACTAACTAATACATAAATCCATTGATAATTGCTCATACTTAATATCTAATCGAACACCCTTACGTCGAATGTAAAGATGCATGCAAATGCAAATCCATTCACACCAGAATTGACAGAACTCCTGACATTACACTCTTATCAGGTCTTAAAGGATTATATTTTTCTTATTGTCCACATATCCAATGCAAAGACCAAAGCCAACAATGCGTTTGTCCATCTAAATACTTCCTGATTTTCATAATGCGTTGTTGGTACTTAGCCCCAACTCCATTCAATTCTACTAAAGTTCTAAATCGTTAAAAATGTAACTAAATGTTAATAAAATATGTGAAAACATTGTATGTGATGGGGACTATTTTCAGGCACAGATTGATACACATTTAGTGCTCTTCCGGGTATTTAAAGCAGCAGGACGATGTATGTGGGACTGAAACAATATAAAGCAAGTTCAAGTGTCAAGATAAGAGTTAAGATAATAAGTCCAGCTTTAAGGTTCTGATTTAATATACTATGTTGGTCTTAAATATAACATGATGTTCAAGTTATGTTTGAAAAAGTGGTTTGCATTATTTTCAAGAACAGCAGATGTCTATCAAACGGGGCAAATGCTTGTAACAGAGTAAATATTACTGACTGAACTGTTGCAGTTTTGTGTGTTTGTAACGTTAATAGTAATAGGTTAACTTCTGTCTGTCTACACTGAGTTTTCTGGATAATTGGCCCCAAAAATATCCACTAAGCCTAGTTTGATCTTATCTGTGCACTTGCAGGAAATAAATTCTTAAAAAATGAACAGCTTCTCTTCACACCGTTTACCTTAGAAAGAGTCTGGATGGCGTCAAGCTAGACTTGGTTGAAATAGTGCTCGTACAGTATTTTGACTTATGTTGGTATTTACTCTGCTTTGTTTGTTTGTTTTATTTTGAAATCCAAAATTGTGCCAGGTCTTGGATATTAACTGTATTTCTTGAACCTCTGCCTGTGTGTCATAACTAACCATGTGTGTTTTTGTTTTCCTTCTCATAATTTAACCCACATGCTCATTAACAGGAAGTGAATGTTTGTGTTTTCAGTGTCCTGTTACCCACTGACACAATGACAAAGAAAGAAACCGTAATGGCACAAAAGGGCACATACATGCAAAATCAGTTGATATAAATTAGTAGACCTGTAGAATATAAATGTAACCCACAACAACAAACACACATTCACACTGACATCGACCTAAATTTGGTAGCTTATTTGTGGCCTGTTTCTTGCAGCTCTTCCGGGAGGTGAGGATCATGAAGATGTTAAATCACCCCAACATAGGTGAGTCACACTGAAACGTGAGTTTCACACAGAGAAACAAATTTAATTGGTGTGTGAAGGTCAGGTGTTCAATCCAAATCATAATAAAACTTTTCTCTCTTATCTCTTTATTTTTGCTTTCACTCTTGATGCCTTTTCTTTCTAAACTCCTATTTCCACTGGTGCTCCCTTTTTTCTGTCTCTCTCTCTTTTGCCCCATCTCCCTTAACTTAACTC